CCCCGACCCAACCCCACCCATGAGTGCCTACTTGGGAACACAGGGAAGAGGAGTGCAGTTAATGTGGGAAGCCAGAGAGGTTTTCACAGAGAAAATAATTGTTTTTTATTCTTTTCTTTTATCCTCACCCAAGGATATGCTTATTGATTTCTTTTTTTCAGAGAGAGGGAGAGAAACATCAATGTGAGATAGAAACATTGATTGGTTGCCTCTTATACCTCTTGTATACACCCCGAAAGGGGACCAAACCCTCGACCTAGGCATGTGTCCTGACAGAGAATCAAACCTACAACCTTTCAGTTTGCTCTCTGCTGCCCAACCAAGCCACACTGGCCAGGGTGAGAAGATGATTTCTGAGTTTAGTCTTAAAATGTGAATAAGTGAGTTTGCCTGTGGACAGCGAGAACAGGAAATATGAAAGAATGGAGGAAAGGATGAGTACTATGCATTCCTGCATGCAGATTCTCTGGCTGTGGGGGAAGGCTGGACTTAAAGCTAAGAAGGCAGGCAGAGTTTCAAGGTCACTCAGAAAATGCAGGCATGATAGAGCAAAATTGTCCATTTGCTATAACTTGGACTCCCACCCTCCTGATCAAGACTGTTCTTTCCAAATTGTTGCAATGGCTTCCCAATTCTTTCTTTCTTCCCTTTCTTTCCATCTCGGCTGGTAAGCCTCCCTCGGTTCCTGGCAACATCAGCTGTGTCGCCGGGATCTCTGCTAAAGCCGGGTGGTGGTTCCCCCTTCTAAAGCTGCGGGGATCCCCACTCTGGCAAAGCCGAGTGGCTCTCCTTTCTATTGCCACAGTCGCAGTTCTCCCTCCTCAAAGGCTGCTGCGTCTGGGTTTAAATCCCCGCACCAATCTTCCTCTGCAGCCCCATTTCCAACTCCTCCCACTATCCGCTACACTTGCTAGCCTTCTCATATCCTTCCAGGTTTACTGGGCTGCCATTGTGGGTCTGGGCAGGCGTGGCCCCATGTCATGGAGCCAATCTTCTCCAAGCTCCCATTCAGGCGCTGTAACTCCGGCGACTTGCCCCAGTGGGAAGTTAGTTCCATTCCCCTGGCTCAGAGCTATTTAACATATCTATGCAACCAGTTAAAGGTTATAGATATGTTAAATGACCATACCAGAGGTTAGCTGCAAAGCTGTTGCTATACAAAACATCTCTCAATGGCCCTGCTCCATTTGTCCCTTCCCCCAACCCACACCTGTGGAAAGGAGGGGTGAGGACATCCTAATATTTCCTGAACACTTTGAGTTCTGGACCCCATTCCAAATCCCTATTTGGGGTCCCCCCTCTTGGCAGCACCCTGTTACAATAGAGGACTCAAGACTTGGGAAATTTTAGCTTAAGGTAAAGTACTGTAAGTCTAGCAAGTAATGTGTATGTTAAGCTTTTGTTTCAGAAACTACAGATAAGGCCCATCCTGGCTCCTGGGAAAAGGAGCTGACCTCCTGGGGCATTGGCTAGAGATTACTGCCTGCAGACATGTTGGAGGCATCCAGGCCTTTTGTGTGACCCCCGCCCCCCTTGGGAACAGCTAAACTGCCTGAGAACAGGAATGCTGCAGCTTCCCTCACCCAATCCTCCCTGAATTTCAAAGCCCTTACCGCACCTTGTTTGTCCTCCCCCACCCCCTTATAAAAGATCTGACCAGGAAAGAGAAGGGAAGATGGTTTGTTAGGGTATGAACCTGCCATCTTCTCAGATTGCCGGCCATCTGAATAAAGTGCCCATGAAAGATTCAATCGCTGCCATTGCTTATTGAATTTGGTAGTGACAGGCAGCCCGAACGCCGGTGTCTTTTCCAGTTCCAGAGCCAGGTGACACCTGGCAATGGGAGAAGAGTTGGGCTACAACTGACCCTGACCCAGATAGTCTCAGGACTGGTCGGAGAACTGGGCTGTGTGAAAAGCCAGGAGCTTGTTAAGAACTGCTGGCCCAACCAAGGAAAATTTTCTCAAAAAGGCTCTCGGCCACTGAGTAAGGAACTCTCCCTCTCTGTGGCAGGGCCAGCAAAGGGGGGGGGGTGCCATTTGCTCCAAATCAGGGAGCCTCACAGACTTATTAAGTGAGGCTGCAGGGGCTCAGAGGGGGTAGCAGTCCCCAGAGGAACTTAATTTAATAGGGGAGGTAAACTGCTGTGAAGGAAATTGAGAGTGGGCAGCACCCAGGCCAGCAAGGAGAGAGGAGGGGTGCTAGGTGCTCCCACTTGGCGCACCTCATGCAGTAATCAAAAGGTGGCACGATGAGGTGGACTAAAGGCACTGGCCTGGCACATATGGACAGTGGGGGCTGCGCAGTGCTCTGAGGGCTTGGGCCAGAGGCTGGACACCTGTTAATATGTAACCCAGACAGAGCTCCCAAAGCAGAGCCACAGGAAAGGGAAAAAAATGCAGCCCAGCCCCCCTCTGCCCGAAGCATCCAGGAAGACCATCAGAACCCACTCAGCGAGTTTAAAGTCAGCAGGAGGCTTTTTTTTCCCCCTAGTGTAAGACAATAAGACCTGGAGCTGGGAAAGGACCAAAGACAGATCCAGAGAGAGATCAGAAGACTAAGGACCAATAACCGAGCCAAAACTCACTTTGCTATCCTCCAGAACCTGCATTTTATTTTTTTTCTTCTTATGATTATTTATTATTATTTTTATCTTCCTTCCATTTAGTTTTCTTTGTTTTGTTTGATTTCATTGTTTTACTGGTTTTCTCCCTTTCATATTGCATTTTAATTTCTCTTCCTTCACTTCACTCATATTCCAATAACACACTACTCTTGGTCTTTTACTTTTTATTCTTTTTATTCAGATCATATATTTCTTGCCATATTATTGTTGTTCCTGTTCCCACAAGTACCCTTCCCTGGTCTTGGTCCATTTCATTATCTTCCTGAGCTTTATTGCTGTTGTGGTTAACTTTATTCTCTCACACACTATGCCAAGTTTCTATCCCTTACTCCCACTATATCTCACTATCTAACCTAGCATAAGCTCTCTGCTTTCTGGAGTCAGCTCACATCCTTTTACCCCTCTAATAAGAGTCTTATCTCTTTTTCACCTTTTATAAAAAGTGGCTAGTTGGGTGAAATATCATGGTTATTGGTGTACTTCTCCAAAGGATCTCTTATCAGTTTTCTACTTGTTGGTACTTTATTTTTTTATATATACATATATATTTTATTTATTTGTTTTAGACAGAAGGGGAGGGAGGAAGGGAGGGAGAAAGAGAAGCAGAGAAACATCAATGTATGGTTGCCTCTTGCACGCCCCCAACTGGGAACCTGGCCTGCAACCTAGGCATGTGACTGGGAATTGAACTGGTAAATTTTCGGTGTTGGGGGACAATGCCCAACATACTTAGCCACACCAGTCAGGGCTGGAGGTGTTTTTCTACTGCAGCCAAACCTAGTCCATCCTGACTATAGAGTTCACTTGTTTATTGTCCCTCTCTCTTCAGAAACAAATGCTCCACAAGGTCAAGGATTTTTTTTTATTTATTTCCCTAGGATCTTAAGTGGCTGAAATAGCATAGCATTCAATACTTGTTCACATGAGCACCCTAAAGAACTGTGAACCCCCTACATAGCTGGCCTGCATCCTCCAGTCTTAATCCTCCCATCTATTCTCTACACAGCAGGCTGGGTTATTGTTCAAGTACGTAAATTTGATCATGTCGTTGTCTTTCTTTAAGCCTCACTGGGCTCCCCACTGCCCCGAGGATAAGCTCTACTCTTCACCCAGCATTCACAGCATTTTGTGTTCTGACCCCTGCTTGTCTCCCCAGATTCATGTTATCTCCGTAATCTTTTATTCTTTTTTTATTATGGTAAAGTTTACATAACTCAAAATTTACCATTTTAACAATTTTTAGGTGTACTTTAAATACATTCACATTGCTGTGTAATCATCACCACTATTCATTTCCAGAATGTTTTCATTATTCCAAACAGAAACTCTGTGCCCATTTAACACTAACTCCCCAACTGCCACCATCCTGTTCCAAATCCACCACCTGGCTCTAAACCCTTTCTGCCTTTGCAGTTCCTGGTGCTTGGTGTGCACTTGGACACTTTGTTTACTTAACAACTACCTCTTCATTTTTCCAAAAGCCAGCCCAGATAAGCTCCTCTTCTCTGAAGTCCTTCCAGACCTTCCCCTCACTAAGGCGTCCATGGCCCTCTGCTGTGCACACATCTATCGCTGTGCTCACACCTGTCTACACTTTTATCTTCAGCCCAAAACCAGAGATACTAGAGCTCAGAGACCATGTCTGATTGATTTCTATGCCCCCAGTGCCTAGTAATACCAGTATGATTGGTGAATGAATAAATGGCTGATTAAAAGTTTCCTAACTTCCCCATGTCACTATCCTGATGAATCTACCAGTTTACTGGTCCAATTCCTACTATCCACCCAGTGTTTAATTATTTTCACACACATTGTTTCATTTAATTCCTACCACAAGGATACCAGGTAAACATTACATCTCTATTTTACAGAAAAGGAAACTGAGATTGAGGGAATGGAAGCATCACGCCCAAGTCAGAATTGGTTAACTAGCAATGGTTAACGTAGCCTTTCCACAAAAAGAAGGTGGTCAGGTGTCATAGTTCCCGGGAAAGAACTAGCAAAAAGAAGGGCAGGAGTTGTGAACCTCTAGGACCTTGCATACCGCTGTAGTTAGAGCCCAGCCCAGAGCTGGGACACACATAGGTACTCTCAAATCATACCTATTGGGAGCCTAAGCCTGGACACAGCTTTTCCCGGTGGCTGGGAATTCCTTACGAGTCGGAACTTAACCTCCCATCCAGGACAGTTGGGAGGGAGGATCTCGAAATGCTCTTGTAACTTTTTACAGCAAATTTAAGGTGACAAAGTAAGAAAGCCAGGGTATTCTTTTTCCTCCTACGATGGGGAGCCCAGGCTGAACTCTACTCCCTCTATCCCTGTTCCTAACTGAGAGGGTCCCAGGGATGTGCCCTCTAGAGACGTCCCCCTTCACCTTGTACACTTGCAGCCCCAGCTGAGAGGACCAGTCGCAACCTGCTTCCTGTGAGACTTTGCTCTCCGGGACACTGGGGCGCATGCGCCCTACCCAGCAGTCCTCGCGAGGCCCCACAGAGGGGACACCCCGGACTCCAAGATGGCGTCAGTCGGTGAGTGTCGGGAATCGCTTGGGGCCGATCAGGTTAGAAGCCGGAGTGGAGACACCCTGGGAGGGGAGGTTGCTGCGGAGCTGTCTGTCTTTCGCTGAACATTTTGGCCGCAACCTCAACCGAGGCTCACTGAGCCCTTTGCCAAAGGTCCTGCGCCTGCCGACCTTTTTTTGCTCTCCGGGCCGCGCTGCGGGCTTGGAATGCGCCTCCTCGGAACTCCCACCCACTCCCGCGAAGGACTAGCTGCTCTCGTCCCCGACGCGACTCAGGCGCTGTGCATTTGAACCCTACTCGCAGACAGTATCCTTCTTTTTAAAGTTGACGTTACAGTTAAGATTCAGGAGAAGTGTAAGGCCTAGGACAGTGCCTGAGACAACGAAAGGTTGGACGCATATATGTTGACTGCGCCAAATAGTCTTTAAGAGGTGAAGTGACTTATTCAAGGTCACAGCTAGTGAGAGAGCTGAGCTGGGATTCAAAGCTAGGAGTTTGGGGCCATGTGGTATACTGAAATTGAATTGCAAGGATGACCTTAGTACTAGCTGGCTTTTCGGTGACATGTTGTATAAATTGCTGCAGTCATCGAACCGTACGCACTGACTTTTATTTTTAAAATAATACGGAAACCACGTATAAGACCTAGATCCTCAAAGTAGCCTTGCCAAGAAGTCAGTACTGAGTGTTGATCCCATATTAAAAATGAGGAAAATAATCTTTGGAGATGTGATGTGGTCTGTCTGAGATCACACAGCATGATAGTGGCAGAGCTTTGATTAACCTATGAATGTGTACCCCAGTCGTAATCTCAGCCTGGAGAAATGAAAAGGAGATCAGAAAAGATGAGAATGATGCTGTTCTCATCTGTAAAAATGGGCATAAGAGTATCCACAGGTGGTTGTGTCATTGAAATAAGACAACATGTGAAAAGGAAGCATTGAGACTTGGCATCTTATTTAAGCAGAGGGTTGTTGTGAAGAGAACTGTGGACTAAGGATTTAACAACTTAGTACATGTAAGGTACTTGGAACGCTGCCCAGCGCACAGGTGAGTGCTGGTCATCCGAACTTAAACTCTGACCTTTGGGCATGGTCATGTCACATCTGGTACATGCAGCATCATCCTGGGAGAGTGAATTGGAGTCCAAATCTTAAGTACTGATGATCTTGTAAATGATGTCTGTTGCTGGAGCATAAAGCTACTAGTTCATTAGCAAATAAAGTGATGAAAATATGAATTAATAGCAACAGATGAGATCAGGGGCTGGCAACCTGTGGCCAATAGGCTGGATTTCCTGAGGCTTCTTTTTGTGAGCTAAGGAGGGTTTTTATGTTTTTTTAAAAATCATTCAGAATAAAAAAAGACTTTATTACAGAGGCCTTGTGTAGCCTGCAAATCCTAAACTCTATTCTCTGGCAAACCCCTGGGTTGCATTTAGCACCTAGAGAACACTTGGCATTTCCATGCCTCTTCATATAAGGGAGCAGTATGTTTCTTGAAGTCATAAAATCAGACCAGACCTGTGGTCCTTCCACAATCTTCACTGAGTCTCTCATGACCAGGAATTGTGTATGTGGATGTTCCTACCTTCAGATAGCTCATAGACAGAAAGACAAATAATAATAATTTCCATTTACACAGCACCTAAAGTCAAGCACCAAGGTGGGTACTATTCTTATTTTACAAAGGAGGAAACTGAGGCACAGAAAGGGCAGTAACTTGCCCAAGGGCATACAGCTATAAAGTGGCACAACTAAGAACACTGTATTCTAGAGTCTGTCCTGTTATCACTGCACTCCATTGGTGTGAACCAGCAACTGCAGAGGGCTGTGCAGCACTGCAGAGGGGTGCTGAGGGGGGGCGGTTCCAGTATTGCTGCCAAGCACTGAGGCCTTTGTTTTCCACTAAAAAAGAAATTCTTGGAATAAATGTAGATGTATCTCTAATGAATCTGACTGCCCTCTGGAGTTTTGTGATGGTGGTATACTTGTTCTCCTTAAAACTAATGTGATTTTTATTCTGTGCTTATAAAGAATAAAAACAGTACAGATATAGACATATGTAGAAAATGATTATTGGCTTTTTTTCTCCTCTGATATGCCAAGGCACCATGCCATCTTCTGAATGTGGTGATGAGAATGTGGAATGTGTTTTCATAGTTTTTGTGAATGTGAAAAAGATAGCTTCAGTGGACTCAGAAGTAGCCTGATTTTTTTTTGAGTCACCAGCCTTATACCAGTCAAAAATATTTTGATTTAAAATACTGTTCTTTTATTTCCCCGAACATAGATCTATTTTCAAAAGCACTTTTAACTTTTATTATGGAAGATTTAAAATAAAAAGGAAACAAAATAATGTAATGAGTGCTTTGTACTTATTACTCAGTGTCAGCAGTTAGCAACATTGTGCTATTCTAGATCCATCTGTTCTTTTATCATCACTCTCCACACCACAATACTATATTTAAAGCCAGAGTTGGTTTTAGAATGACATGGTTGCACTCCTTACCGCATGCAAAAATGCTTTGAGAGCGTAGGAAAGGTATTACTGTGTTCTTATTTAAGAGTAAAATGTGGTATGGTAATCCTTGGACTAAAAGTGTACCAATTCAAATGAAGACAAACCTGTGAGGTAAGATACGTACTTACTGAACTTTTTTTAAAAATGGCGCAGGCAAGGTTACAGAGGAGGGTATAGGTCATTTTCGGAAGACATTGTTTGGTCTTGAACCTAATATCATTCGACACTAAGCTCTCCAACAGAGATTTGGAACATATCTTAAAATTCATTTAAGACTATCTGACATCTCAAAAATATTACTAATCAGTTTTTTTTGTTTTGTTTTGTTTTTTTTTGTAAAAGAACTAAAAGGTGAGATTAGTCCCTGAAGTCCTGTGTGGCTAAAATGTCCTAAAGTATGGTTTATGTGCTTTTCCCCCACTGTACCTTTCTCCTTTTAAAAAAAAAAATGTTTCATATAAATCTTATGAAATTTCAATAGTAATAATAACAGTTTACAATTCTGAGCACTGTTCCAAATGCTTTTGTATAGATTCTCATTCAATCCTTGGAGTAAACCATTTTACAGAAAAAGAAATGCGCTCACAAATTATATAGAAAGGAAGTGCAGTCACTTGAGATCAGGAGGGCAGGGAAGAGGCCTTTTGGGAGATGACAGTTAAGTTGAGATAATCTTGTGAGGAACTGAGGGCACTCAGGTGAAATAATTCTGTTGCATATGAAAACAGAAAGGGTTTTGGCTCAAGTGTGGTGAGCCCAAAAAGATGAGCGGGTATGTTGTCTTCCCTGACAGAATGTTGGCCCTAAGAGCAAGGTTCTCGTCTGCGGTCAGTGCTGTGTCCACAGTGCTTGGTGTGCTACCTGGCATACCAAGCTCCATGTTTATTGGATGAATCTAGGTGGAAGGTTGGGGCAGTTTGTTTGGGATAGGCAGCCTAAACCAGGACACTTAGACTTCCATGTATGCAAGTCATAGGCTTATGCCTCTACCTGTCGCTTGTGGCCTGCTCTGACAAGCACTCAGTCTGGTTCATCAAGGTCAAGGGTCTGGTTCTGCAGATGAGCTATAGCAGAGTAGAAGCCGCTGTTCAGTCTTGCATTTCTCTTTATGGCCTGACAGTCCTTGTCCTTAAGGATTGGGAGATGTCAGGAAACCTGTGGGATTCCCTTTAGTGGACACTTGAGGCTGGTCTTTAGAGAGCGTTAGTCTTTCCTTGCATCCCCAAAATGGAAAAGAAATCTTGGAGTGATTTAGTCTGGCTCCTTCTGTGGCTGGTCATCTTTAAGAAGGGACTTTAGTTTTTGATTCCTTGCCCTGAAGAGGACACTTACTAAGCAGCTTTTTAAAGCTGACCTCTGGGGAAAGACAGGGGAAGGGGGACCAGCTGACCTCTGGGGAAAGACAGGGGAAGGGGGACCATTCCCTCATGAACATCTGGACACTCACAGCTCTGCTTCCCTTCCCAGGCCCTCCCTGTTTGACTCTTAAGCCCTGAGATGAATACAGTATGGCCTCAACTAGGAGCCCTTCTCCAGTCCTCAGACTCTCATTGAAATATAATCTGGGGCCCACTGGATCATTTGGAGTGGTTTTTACTGTCATTTGACATCTGTGGTCCCAGGTAGGATTCTTGAGGAAGCAGTCAGATTGGCTTCAGGAGCATAGGGACCAGACCCAAGGTTCAGTCTTGCCTGTGTGCTCTGTGACTTTGGCCAAGTTGCCCAACTTCTGTGAGCCCTCCCTTCCCCCCATTATAAAATAAAGGCATCAACTACTTGCTTCAAAGATTAAATGAACCTAATACATGTAATGTTAATACTAGTTTTGTAGTAATCTATTCTGTCCTCCACTTTATTCCTTTCTTCCTCATGGCCCTTAGTTCTCTTTTTACATAGTTATTTTCAGCAAGCTCTTATTTAAAATCCTGTTTTTAGCCTTGGCTGGTGTGGCTCAATGGATTGAATGCTGGCCCATGAACCGAAAGGTTGCTGGTTTGATTCCTGGCGAGGGCACCTGCCTGGGTTGCGGGCCAGGTCCCCAGTTGAGGGTGTGTGGAGGCAACCAATTGTTTCTGTTACACATCGATGTTTCTCTCCATTTCTCCCTCCCTTTTCCTCCTTCTAAAAATAAATAAAATCTAAAAAAAAAAATCCTGTTTTTAACTAATCTGTCACTACAGCAGTTCTGCCATTATATAGACTCTGGATTAAAATAGTGAATTTGGCCCTGGCCAGTGTGGCTCAATTGGAGAGTTGTCCCATGCACTGAAAGGTTGCAGGTGCAAGAGGCAACCAATTGATGTCCGCCCCCCTCCACTCCCTCTCTCTCTAAAAGCAATAAAAAATGTCCTTGGGTGAGGATTTTAAAAAACAGTGGATTTGGTGTGACATATTTACTTATTATATTATTTAT